TGGGCCCCGGGGGACGCGGCTCGGGCGGCGCCCTCGGCCCCCGCCATGGATGACGGTGTTTCCAGCATCCGCCGCCGAGTGTCCGTCCGCAAAAGGAACCGTCCGAGCCTAGAGACCCTTTTTGCCGCCCCCGCGGCGGCGGAGCTGCGGATGGGGGACGAGCAGGAGGAGGAGGAGGAGGAGACGGTGGCTGGGAGCCCGCGGCGGAAAACTGTGGGCGCGCAGCCGGTCGAGGTACAGCCCCTCAGCGCCCAGGTTCCCCTGAGTTCCTCTCGCCATTGCCCACCTTGGGGCAGCGACACCGACCCCGGCTCCTCCTGCGCACACCCGCCGACGGGGGGGACGGCTGTAGGCGGCGGGGATGTGAAGCCAGGTTCTTGACGGCCTCCCTCTGAGGAGCAGCGGTTGACCGGTTGGTTGCCTGCTGGTCTTCCTGTGCTTACCTCAGTCGTGCTGTGGCTGTTTATTCTCGCCTGCGAGATATTGCCTTGTTATCCCCGTTTTGTAAAAACTAGTTACATTGTCTAGATTTTACAACAGAAGTCAGGCCCTGAGAGCGAAGAGACTACACTCCTGACTCCAGGTCCTGTTTTTAATCACTGCACTGTGTTGCTACCTGCGAGTGTGCATCTCTTGTCTTCAGTAGACCACGCTAAGCCAGGGTGCAGACCCCCTCTCAAGTCCACGTGCCGAGAGACAGCCTTGGAGTGTAGTGCAAGCATGATTTTGTTACAGGCCACTCTATATTGGAGTCTGGGAGGGGAGGGGTCGTGCCGTTTCAGAACTTCTGTTCAGGTGACATCCCAATAGATGTCTATCAGCCTTGCTACCTGTCACTTAACGGATTTAGCATTGGCTTAAGAATTAGGATCCCAGGGCCATCTTGCACTAAGAGTGCAGCTTAGGCAAGTCACTTACCCGCTCTAGGCCTCCATTTTTTTCATCTGTAGAATGGGGTTGATAATAACTATTTCATAGGGTGGTTTACATTTAGGTCCGTGATCCATATGTGACCGTGTAATTATATACCTGGTATAGCCCTAGGCTGAAATTTTATTTTTACTGAAGCTAGAATTGACCATAAATATTTTTGTTTCCTTTCCAGAATAATGATAGTAAAGAGGACATGTTTGTCGACTATGATAGCTTTGCTGAAAATTCTTTTTTAGTTCAAGTTGATGACCTGGAACAAAAATACATGCAACTTCCTGAAAATAGGAAGCATAATACAGACCTTGCGACTGAAGATCTTTGTTCAGAAAACATCAGACATAACAGACTCGGCATTACTACTGTAAGCAGCATTACTGAGTTAAAAACAGATGAGCACCCAAAGAACCAGAGAGGGCATGAAGATGTCCCTGTTGAACCTGGAGCTGATCTTTGGTGTGAATTGCCTTCTTCACAGGTTTTATACTTCGAAAATTTGCAGAATTATTCAAATGATTTGGGTAATAAGTCTACTAAAAAAAGGGATTGGAACTCATCGTCTCACAGGACTGTGAATGAGGAATTGCCCCCAAATAGCATAGAGCAACCCCAGCCAACTGATGACTCCTCTTCTAAAGTCAGAACTAGTTCAGATGTGAATAAGCGAAAAAGTCTTAAAGATCATCTAAAAAGTGCCATGACTGGAAATGCAAAGGCCCAAACACCAATATTTTCTAGGACTAAGCAGCTGAAAGAGACTCACCTGTCTGAAGAAATTAATGTTGCCAAGAAAACAATTGAGTCATCATCAGATGACCTTGGCCCTTTTTATTCATTACCCAGCAGAGTGAGGGACCTTTACGCACAGTTCAAGGGAATTGAAAAGTTATATGGTAATGCTTTTTGCTGGAATGAAATTGTTTTGTCACCATTACCATAATATTAGAGTAAGTCAGTAGAAAGCAGATCCTTCCATGGTCATGTATTGCATATTGTTTTTTATATAGGTTTGTTGTTAATCCTCACCTGAGGATATTTTTTTTAGAGNTTTGTCACCATTACCATAATATTAGAGTAAGTCAGTAGAAAGCAGATCCTTCCATGGTCATGTATTGCATATTGTTTTTTATATAGGTTTGTTGTTAATCCGCACCTGAGGATATTTTTTTTTAGAAAGTGGAAGGAAAGGAGGGAAGGGGAGGGAGAGAGAGGGAGAAACATTGATGTGAGAGAGAGAGACATCGATTGTTTGCCTCCTGCATGTGCCCTGAGCAGGGCCAGGGATTGAACCTGCAATCCAGGTACATTCCCTTGACTTGGAATCGAACCCACGACTCTTCAGTGCACAGGTCAGCGCTCTAACCTTTGAGCCACATGGGCCAGGACCATGTATCACATCATAAAAACAAAGTGTCAGTCCTCTTTCAACCTATATCAGCCCTGCTACTACTGAACCTCTTTGCGGTCACACTTCTCAAACCTGTTATCCTTGCTCTCTCCCTTTCCTCACTTCAAATAATTCCCAACCCACTCCAACTCCAGGTTCTGTGTGCTCACTTAAGATATAATGGCTAGGGTGTCTAAACCCATTAATACCTTTAGTTCTTACCTTTCCTGACTTCTCAGTAGCTTCCCTGACACAATTGACTAGACCCTTTTTAAAACTTTTTTTTTTCTTTTTTAAAAATATATCTTTATTGATTTCAGAGAGAAGGGAGAGGGGGAGAGAGAGATAGAAACGTCAATGATGAGAGAGTCATTGATCAGCTACCTCCTGCACGGCCCCGACTGGGGATGGAGCCTGCAATCTGGGCATGTGCCCTGACTGGGAACCAAACCTCGATCTCCTGGATCCTAGGTCAACGCTCCACTGCTGAGCCATGCCCGGCTGGGCTTGAAACACTCTTT